CTCAGGGCTTGCTTTTTCTTCTGCCTGTAATTCTCCCTTCCTAGACGCAAAGCTGACAGACTTGGCCAATAGAGACCAGCCTTTGCTTGATTCAGTGTTTGCTACTTTACATAGATCACAAAAAACAAGAATAGCCCTCCTTGGTTTGGCTCAGTGGATAGAGCATCAGCTCACGAACTATAGGGTCCCAGGTTCAATTCTGGTTCCCCGGCCCTACTTGGAGTGTGTGCAGGAGGCAACCAATTGATGTGTCTCTCTCACATCGATGTTTCTGTCTCTCCCTTTCCCTTCCAGTCTCTCTAAAAATCAATGAAAAAAAAACACATATCCTCGGGCAATGAATAATAATAATAATAATAATAATAAAACAGGTTCATTAAAAAAAAAAAAAAAGCAATAGCCGAACCCGGTTTGGCTTAGTGGTAGAGCATTGATCTGCGGACTGAAAGGTCCCAGGTTCGATTCCGGTCAAGGGCATGTACCTTGGTTGCGGGCACATCCCCGGTAGGGGGTATGCAAGAGGCAGCTGATCGATGTTTCTCTCTCATCGACGTTTCTAACTCTCTCTCACTCTCCCTTCCTCTCTGTAAAAAATCAATAATAATAATAAAAAAAGCAATAGCCACAGATGCCAGCTCATGCTCCTTGGGTGGGTGACACTGAAACAAAGGGGCCGAAGACTGCAGCAAAAGGGGTAGGACGCCCCGGGGCAGAGAAAGTGATTCCACAGCCCGAGCCGGGAGGACAGAACGCCTCCGACCTCCCCAGAAGCGAGGGGATGAGGAACAGCTTCAGGACAGGGGGTTAATGAGAGCTGGTCTCCAAGCCTTTCCTCACAAGCCTGTCGTGCTCTGTGTTCCAAAGACCAGAGTGTTCTGCCAACTCTTAGATAGGCTAGCCTGCCCGGCTTACGCAGAGCTGTGCAAGACAGCCAAACGCCATGGCGGAACCACTGCGCTACCCCATCTCCTCCTCCTCGCTTGCCCTCCCTCTCTCTGCATCTCTATTGGAAAGTCTCCTCCCGAGTTGCCTTCCCCGACCACGACCACCCTGTGTAAATATCACACCCCTCACTCTCCATCCCGGCTCATTTTCCTTAATGCTTGCCGCGTCCCAATGTGACATTATGCACCTGTTTACTACGTCATTGACCGTGGGCCCATCAATACAAGCACGATTCCTGAGGGAAAGAAATGTGTGTATCCTTTGCTGTGGCCCTACTGTTACCTGGTAGACATAGCACTTACTGACCACATCTAACTACCAGACACTGTTCTAGATGTTTCCCAGGTCTTGAATCATTTAATGGGCATTACCCCCATCGACAGGTTTTTATTTTTTCCCCTTTCCAATTAAAAAAAAATATTTATTGTTCAAAGTTATTACATATGCCTCTCCCCCCACATTGACCTCCAGCTCCCCCCCCTCCCCACACAGGCCTTCACCACCCTGTTGTCTGTGCCCATGAGTTATGCATAGATGCATACAAGGGAGAGGCAGGCTTTTAAGGTCCTGGGTTTTGGAGGAGGGAAGGTGGGCAAAGGGATAGTCCCTCTGTCTAGAGAACCCAGAGAGATCCTATTAGATATGTTTATGTAGAACAGCCGAAACCGGTTTGGCTCAGTGGATAAAGCGTCAGCCTGCGGACTGAAAGGTCCCAGGTTCGATTCCCATCAAAGGCATGTACCTTGGTTGCAGGCACATCCCCAGTAGGGGGTGTGCAAGAGGCAGCTGATCGATGATTCTCTCTCATCGATGTTTCTAACTCTCTATCCCTCTCTCTTCCTCGCTATAAGAAATCAATAAAATATATTTTTAAAAAAGAAATGTTTATGTAGAACAATGCCACGGATTTAAAAAATATATATATTTTATTGATTTTTTTTAGAGAGGGAGAGGGATAGTTAGAAACATCGACCAGCTACCTCATGCACAGTAGTACTGGGGATGTGCCTGCAACCAAGGTACATGCCCTGGACTGGAATCGAACCTGGGACCCTTCATTCCGCAGGCTGATGCTCTATCCACTGAGGCAATCTGGTCAGGGCTGCTACGGATTTTTATAAAGACAATTTAGAAGCCCTAATGGTCTTTGGGCACTGTTATATTGAAGAAAAATCCCTTGTTTTCTAGATATTGGGGCAGTCTGAATTCCAAGGGACCGTGATCCTTGCTAGCCCGGGAAAGGATGGGAGATGGAAGAGGTATGCAGCTGGGCAGGGACGTGGCAAGTTTTGTCTTGATAAGCAGGAGTGGTAGGAACACTGGCAGTGATCCTTATCCTTTTTTTGGTTGTTGTTAGCATGCCTGAAATATTCACAGCATATTTTAAAAGGCTATTCGGGCCCTAGCTGGTTTGGCTCAGTGGATAGAGCATCTGCCTGGAGACTGGTTGTAGGCTTGATCCCCAGTAGGGGGCGTGTAGGAGGTAACCCTCTTATTGATGTTTCTCCGTTCCTCTCTGAAATCAACATCTTTACAAACTGGAAGGCTATATGGAGGTATTCTACACCTCTGCTTCTAGAATGGGGACAGTATCAGGAACCCTTAACTCCATCCGGTGGGGCACTATCTCCATTTTACACACCTTGAACCTGAGGCAAAGAAATGAAGCTAGGAAGCAAGCTCAGAAGTGATTCAGTTTATAGGGGGGGAGGGGCGGGCTTGGGATGTATTTGGGAACCTGCAGTGGTGTGGGGTAGTCACGGGAAGATAGCTCTTCATAGGCCTTGGGACACAGGTTCTCAAGGGACCTTGAAACATTTGGGAATTTGGTGGGTTCTTGGGAAACATGTGAGATGCTAAAACTGAAGTGGAGGAATAATTGGCAATTTTGTCTGGAAATTTTGATTAGCAACTTCAGCGTCAGAGAAAACCAGCTGGGAGTTCTCTAGGCCCTTCCTTAGAGCATATACAGTGAGACTGGGCTGGATTACAAGGCACCTTCCAAAACCAGGAGAGAAGAGCAAGTTGATCAGGTTGTCCTTCAGGCCTAGGAGGGCTTATTGATATAATTTAGGGGACTGTTTTGTTGCAGAACTTCCAGTTGATGGGTCTCAGGCTGCACTGAGGGTGAGGACACTACTCCCTGAGGTGCAGAGAAACCCCTCCCCACTCAAGGCCGTAATGGTCCACTCCCTCAGCTCCTTGCAGGTCCGGCACAGAATGCCTGTTCAGACCAAGTACCCAAATGCTGAGGGTAGGACAATCTGTATGGGAGGAAGGCGGGTCCAGGCCGCCAATACTGACCATCCCAGTACAGGGACCCAGGCTGTTTGAGCTGCTTTAACAGTGTAATTTCTCAATTCTGGAGGTTGGAAACTCAAGATCAGGGTACCAGCATGTTTCAGTTATGGTGGGGCCCTTTCAGAATGTCTTCTTGTAGCCCTAGCTAGTTTGGCTCAGTTGATAGTGTCAGACTGTGGACTGAAAGGGTCCCAGGTTTGATTCCGGTCAAGAGCACATGCCTGGCTTGCAGGCTTGATCCTCAGTTGGTGGCATGCAGGAGGCAGCCAATCCATGATTCCCGTATCACTGATGTTTCTCTCTGAAACCAATAAATGACTTCTTGTATCCTCACATGGCAGAACCGATCAGGGAGGCAAACTATTTCTATTATCATGAAGGTCTCACCTTCATTAGAAAGTCCTCCTTTCTAATATTATCATATTGGGGAAGGTTGCAACATATGTGTTTTGAGGTGACATGCTCAGTCCATGACAATCGTGTCCCAGGAACGAGGGAATAAGGGAGTTTAAGCTGTTCAGGAACTCAAGACTAGTCCAAGGTACAAAACTGGACCAAGCTACTGCCACCACCTTAGCACTGAATCTGTGACTGAAGGGTTGGCCAATGGCTGTATATGCCTATTAAATGTGCCTTACACACAACGGAAAAGATAAAATGCCCGCGGGGCTGAGGCACACAGGTTAAATGACCCACCAAGTCAAAGAGCTGGGAAGCAGCAGAATCCAGTTTGAGCTTAGAATTCTGTTCTTAAACCAGGATTTTTCTGGGACCCTCACATTAGAGTGAGTTTAGCATCCTTTTTTCTCATGTATCTGACGTGTGCTTATATAACACACTCACCCAAACAACCCCGAACTTTAGAGGTACTTGCCCTGCTGACCCCTCAATTCTTTACTCAAAGTCTCCTTTCCCAATCTTTATTTTAGATTACAAGCCAGAGTAAGGAAAAAGCAGCAGCAGTATCAATTCTTTAGGTATCATTTTTTTAATCAGCTCCATGAAAGACATCCTAAATACTACATGAAACACAACAGAATATTTTTTCTTCCAGTATTAAAAAAATGACATTCACAATTATTTTAAGAAACTTCTATATAATCAGGGCAGTGTTAAAAAAAAAAAAAAAAAACTCCAAGTAACCAGGTCCTTGATTTATTGCAATTATATTTGGAAATTGCTTTTAACAATGATAAACACTGTATACAAGTTTTAAAAAACGTCTCTTAGATGCATATCTGGGTGGGGGGGGAAAACAGTCTGGCCAAACATTTTTTGGTCAAGACCATTCCTGAGAGCCCAAACTTCCAAAAAAAAAAAAAAAAAATGGGTAAAAGGGAATATTCCAGACTATAAATGTTCCAGAATTTGTCTTTAACCGGGAGAGAAAAAAAATAACAACACATGGAGCTTCCTAAAAGGTCTTTAGCAAGCTACCTTGGGAGCTCAATTCAAAAATAGAAGTTGACATACTAAAACAGATGTTTCAGTGCAGCTCCAAAACTCTTTATAAATACAGCCATTTGGAAGGACGATCCTGGATCAGAAGTTTTATTCCTTGTGTTTGTGTATCTGAGAACAGTAAAAGGGGAAGAGCTGTGATTTTAGGAACAGGCTCACACGCTTACCTTCTGGGTTTGATAAAGTTACAGAGGGCTTCACAAGGACACCCCCTCATCTCCATGGCCAGCAGATTACAGGGGACAGGTTTTCCCATACAAGTCTCACCTACATTAGGTGTGGCATGCCTCCTCTCAGTTGTCATAATTGTCTCTGTAATTTCCTCCTGAGTAGCGGTCATAGCCACCCTGGCTTCTGGGAAAAAACCACAGTGTTGCAGAAAATGCACCCGACACCCCCAGATAATACAGAAACTCCCATTTACATATGCCATCACATCTTATAAATGTTAATGTGCAAAACAGGGTATGTTAAAGCATGTGAACATCATATAGAAGGCACAATTATACAGTATATAATTCACACAACACATGGAATCGTACCACAGCACAAAACATACACGTTACCTATCATATACTGCAATTACGTGAACTTATAATTTATTAAAGCATTACACGTAACTCAAAATATCCCTTGTTTGTTTTGCAGTTTCATTATGGTTTGTAAAACCAAAACTAATAACACCAAGGTAAGATAGGCATACAGTCAGGCAGCCCAGCTCTTAAGCAGCGCAGCGCTACCCAAGCACCCCAACACTTTGGCTACCCACCTGCCACCATAGTCTCTGGATCGTCCATATCCATAGCCATATCCTCCAGGCCGACTGTCATACCTGCCACTCCCATAGCCCTGGTCTCCACCACCTACAGCAGACAAAAAAATACTTAACTGGCAACTGTCCCAGACAGAAGCCCCTAACAGGCGGCTCTTCGCCTCACTGCATGGCCAAATTCACCATTGCCATTACCTCTGGAGTAGCTGCGGCCACGCCCTCCAAAGCCACCGCCTCGGCCCCGGGCCGACTTGCCAGCATGGTCCACGCGGATCTGGCGACCATCCAGAGACTGGGTGCGAGGAGACATAAAGAGGATAAGTGGGCGGTCACACAGGGAAGTGGCGAGTCAAGAGTGGGCAGGGCAGGCGGGCAGGAGCCCAGAAACTCGTGCTGAGCACCAAGTTTTGGGTGCTATGTTCCATAACAAGCTCCTCCGACCAGAATGGCCTGAGCAGGAGCTGTAGAACCCCACACAATGACCTGAATCCACCGTGCTCCCCTGCTACTACTTACATCTTGACCGAACTCAGGTGAGTTCTCCTCCCCACTCCTCTAAGCTGCCCAACTATTCGGGCTAGATAGACACCTCTCTTGGTTTGAGGCTTCAGAGTCCGTCCCGGAAGACTCACGAGGTCCTCTCCGGGCCAGGCCCGCAGATCTGCAGACTCTACTACCTAAGCCCAGGGCAGGTCAACCATCCACAGGTGGCTTCTCGGCCTCATGCAGGACCAGTCGTCGCCTCCCAGGCAGCCCGGCTCTGTCTGCCGCTGCCCTCCACCCCCTAGAACAGAAGGCAGTCACGCTCCTGTGAGTGGGCACTGTGGGGTTTGGTGGCCGCGCTGCCCCTAGCAGACACAGAGGGAAAAACAGAAAGAATGGTGGAAGTGGTAGAGAGGGGGGCAGGACCCCTAATGCAGGTAAAAGGCCTCACCTCTCCGTTCATGGCTCTCATGGCATCGGACGCATGCTCTGGGTTGGTGAAGGTAATGAAGCCAAAACCCCGGGATCGCTGAGTCTCCCGGTCCTTGACAACGACCACTGGGGAAGAGGAGACGAGTTAGCAAAAAGTGACCGATCTTCAACGAAAAGTTATCGGGTCCTCCAAAGCCTGAACTATAGCCCCTTAAACCCAAGAATCCAGCAAAGCAAAGTAGCACAGGAAGGCCTGGGGCCCCGATTTCCGGTAACTGTCCACCCCCTCCCCCCTTCACGGGCCTGGCCCATCGCTCACCCTCAGAGATGGGCCCGAAGCTGCTGAAATGATCTTCCAGAGCCTGCTCGTCGGTGTTGAAGTTGAGCCCTCCAACGAAGAGCTTCCCTTCTTCAGAGGACATGGCAAGGAATTCGAGTCCTGCGGGGAGAACACGGAAGGGCGTGGGGCGCAAGCGGGAGAAAGGTTGGAGGGAAACGGACGAAGAGGAAAAAAAAATGGCGAGGGCAGAACGCAGACAGGAACAACCAAGTAAGGTGTAACCAAGGAGAAACCAAGACGGAAAACGGCGGGGCGGCCATTTGGGGGCCGCCTTCGCGCATGCCCACAACACCCCCGCCGCCACGCCCGTCATTTTGTGCCACAGCGCAGGCCCAGAACGTCCATGCGCTCACTGTGCGCCCACAGAACAAGATGGCGGCGGTCACGTGGGGGGGGAAGGCCCTCCCCATCCCCCCGCAGTTCCCGGCCGCCGCGTGGTCACTCCCGAGACCAACCCCAACCCAAGTCACTCCGCCGGCCCCTCCGGCCACTCCTCGTGCCGGGGAACAGGGCGCCGGCATGCCACCAAACCAAAAAAGTTTCACCTCCAAGCCCGGGACCCGCCCGCCTCGAAGGAGCCCGAGCCTACGTGGCCGAGGCCGCTCCCCTCCCCACCCGCACGCCTCGCTCTAAGTCGGCGCGGCGCCCCCCAGTGAGGAGAGGAGAGGCCGGACTCCGGGAAGTCGGCCGCCACTTACCTAGAAGTTCAGGAAAAGGGCCGTAAGAACAGTTTCCGCCAAGGAGCAGAGCGACTGAGGAGGAGATCGCGCGGGAAGACGCTTAATAAAGCGTACGTAGCGTGCACGTCACTGAACGTCGCCCCGCGCGCGCTCATTGGCTGAGGCCCGCGAGGGCGGCGGGGGGCGTGGTCTGCCGAGCAGAGGAAGCCAAGTTCTCTCGGCACGCTTCCGGGAACGGAGCCGGAGGTTGGTGTGGGCGGGGCGTTGTGATGTCAGCACGCCTCCATTGGCCGCGGCCTTTTCCGTCTCTTCTGCGCACGAGCCTGTGGGCTCTCACATCCCTTTCCTTCCCTGCCCTTACTTCCTTGACGTCATCTCCCTACTGGTTCCCACGATTTTCTCACCACGGGAGAGTCTTTTTCTAGGTCCCCGACGATGTACCTGGCAGCCGCTGGCATAACCTCCACTCACTTTCCAGTCCTCTAACCTTACTATCCCTCCAGTTTCTCTGATGCCATCACCCTTACATCAAACCGTGCATTTTCTCAGTGTCTGATCCTGACTTCTAGGTTTTCTTCTCTGTCCCGCCTGTCACAGGACCCTTTTTCCTTCCATCATTCCATCTCATTTCTTTTTTAAAAGAATATATTTTATTGATTTCAGGGAGGAAGGGAGAGGGAGAGAGCTAGACACATCAATGATGAGAATCATTGATCTGCTGCCTTCCGCAAGCCCCACTGGGGATCCAGCCCACAACCCGGGTGAGTGCCTTAACTGTCCATCAAACCGTGGCCTCAGGTTCACAGGTCGACGCTCAATCACTAAGCCACACCGGCTAAGCATTCCTTCTCATTTCTGACTTGAGCCCTCATCTTTATCTGACAGCCTCCGGAAGCCATTCTTGATTGCCCTCCCCCACCCCTAATAGACTGCCTGAGGGACCTTCTTAAAAAAACAAACAAACAAAAAACCCCTGCCGGACCGGTTTGGCTCAGTGGATAGAGCGTCGACCTGCGGACTGAAAGGTCCCGGGTTTGATTCCAGGCAAGGGCATGTACCTTGGTTGCGGACACATCCCCAGTGGGGGGTGTGCAAGATGCAGCTGGTCGATGATTCTCTCTCATCGATGTTTCTAACTCTCTATTCCTCTCTTCCTCTCAGTGAAAAATCAATAAAATATATTTAAAAAAACAAACAAACAAAAAAACCCCAGGATGATCCAATCTCCAGAGGAAGTAAATCCCAGTTCACACTACAATTTTTGCTGTCACTCAGGGTTGCTGAGCCCTTGATCCACAGAAAGGACTTTGACAATACACAGTGGACTTATGCAAAGTGTGACTGACCCATTACCCACAACTTGGTCTTGTGAAGCCTCTCAGTGTCGGAACTACCTTTGCAATGAATGGATGTGACAGACTCAATTTCTGCGGTCCCCATCCAAGAAATAGGTTAGTTTCCCTCAAAGACTAAATTTCTCATCCATAGAATGGAAATCTCCTTTCTAAGGGTCAGCCCCTCAAACACAGTCTAGATTTGTTAGCGTTCAGAGTACGGGATCATATGCATCTGCAAAATGAACTTGTCTGACTTTTGCCATGTTCAGACCTATGTCCAGGTTTTACGTGAACAGTTTTCACACTGTCCACATTAATTCTGGTATTAGATAGAATCTGAGCCCCATGCAAAACACAAAAACAAACAAACAAACAAAAAGAGGTACTTGTTTGCCTTTCAAACTATCTTTTAAAAAAAATATATTTTTTAATGATTTTTTACAGAGAGGAAGAGAGGGATTGTTAAAAACATCGATGAGAGAATCATCGATCAGCTGCCTCTTGCACACCCCCTACTAGGGATGTGCCTGCAACCAATGTACATGCCCTTGACCAGAATCGAACTCGGGACCTTTCAGTCCGCAGCCTGACGCTCTATCCACTGAGCCAAACCAGTTTCGGCACCTTTCAAACTATCTGATCTCTGATCATATTCCACAGTTCATGACGTATCCTCATTGTTCCATGCAAAGCCCCTAATTTTATTAATTCTTTTATTCCTGCACCTAACAATCTTTCTCTTCTTCCCACAGTTTACCATTGTATTGGGTTCAATGTGTATCTTTTTGCATGATTACATATAAAATCTACATTTTACCTATGCTTTTAATTAAATGGTAGTATCATTCTGTGTATCCCCTCCCCCACAACCAGCATTATGTTATGATTCATGTGTGTTGTTATGGGTGCAGATAATCTATCTGTTGCTTCTAATGGTTCCAATAAACTCCAATGTGTACATCCACTGCATCATTTTACCCCTCGGTTCTCCCAGTGATGTACACAATAAATTACGCCTTGTAGCCAAAACCGGTTTGGCTCAGTGGATAGAGCGTTGGCCTGCGGACTGAAGGGTCCCGGGTTCTATTCCGGTCAAGGGCATGTGCCTTGGTTGGGGGCACATCCCCAGTGGGGCATGTGTAGGAGGCAGCTGATCGATGTCTCTCATCAATGTTTCTAAAATCAATAAAATATATTAAAAAATAAATTACGCCTTGTAAGTGCTTCCGATGGGCCAGTGTGAACATTTCTTTAGGATGTATACTCAGAAAATAGCTGGGCCAGAGATATATAATTTCTGTAAGCAGTGCCAGATTGTGATCTGGAAGAGGTGGAGCAATGTATGAAGGGCCCTACATTCCCATCTCCATCAACACTTAGCATTATCCAGCTTACTAAAATTTTCTAGTCTAGCCAGTACAGTCATAATTCATTAGTTTTTAACTTAAAAATCTAATTGGCTTTATTCAACAATTCATGAATTGGGCATCCCATCTAGTAAATAGAAAGGTGCTCTTCTTTAGTTTTTTTTAACTTGTATTTTAAAGTGATTGATAATGATTTTGAGCCCTAGCTGGTTTGGCTCAGTGGATAGAGTGTCAGCCCACGGACTGAAGGGTCCCGGGTTTGATTCCAGTCAAGGGCATGTATCTCGTTTGAAGGTTCCATCATTGGCTCTGGCGGGGTGTCTGTGGGAGACAACCAATCGATGTGTCTCTCTCACATCGATGTTTTTCTGTCTCTCCCCCTTCCTTCCAGTTGCTCTAAAAATAAATGAAAAAATATCTTCAGGTGAGGATTAACAGCAAAAAAGAGAGAACGACTTTGAGTACTTTCACACGCTTGTTTGATTTTGGTTTTCTTCATGTAAATTGCTTATTCATATCTATATTCCTCTTAGGACATTTCCCATAGTTCTCTTGTTGATTTTCAGGGGCCTGTCACTTAGATCAATTATGAATCCCTTCCTATAGCCTTTCTTCATCCTTTCAATCATTTCTAGATCTTTTTTTTTAAAAAAAAAATCCAATGAGGCGCCCTGGCCGGTTTGGCTCAGTGGATAGAGTGTCGGCCTGCGGACTCAGGGGTCCTGAGTTCAATTCTGGTCAAGGGCGTGTACCTTGGTTGCAGGCACATCCCCAGGTGGGGGGTGTGCAGGAGGCAGCTGATCAATGTTTCCCTCTTATCGATGTCTCTAGGTCTCTCTCCTTCTCCCTTCCTCTCTATAAAAAACAATAAAATATATTTTTAAAAATCCAATGAGGGGTCTGTTATGTTCTACTTTTATACTTACTATTTAAAACTTCTGACATCTCGTTTCATATTTTCTATTTTCAGTGTTTTTTCTGTTGTTTTTTTTTTTTCTACTATCATTCTCATATTATTTTGGGGGTCTTTTTATATCTCTTGTTCTTGTTTTATCTTTTTTTGTATTATCTATTTTACTTATTTAAAATTATTCGTCTGACCCAGGACTTGTTTTGGATATTATGTCACCTAGTGTGGCAGCCAGCCTCCAATATAGTCCCCAATGATCCCTGTCTCCTGTATTCACATCCTTTGTAGTTCCTATGTTGTACTAGGGTTGGCCAGGTACCCCAATATCGTGGATGGTCCTCAGTGTGTGGGGTTGCCTGAGACCCTTATGTGTACCTGTTAGACCCACAGTTTTGCAGCACCCCAGATAGAGAATGGTCTTGTCCTGCTCTTCAGTGACTGAGCCCTTATCTGAGGAATGGTCAGCTTCCCTTCTTCTTTTTAAAAAATATATTTTATTGATTTTTTACAGAGAGGAAGGGAGAGAGATAGAGAGCTAGAGATAGAGAGAGAGAAACATCGACCAGCTGCCTCTTGCACACCCCCCACTGGGTATGTGCCCGCAACCAATGTACATGCTTTTGACCGGAATTGAACCCGGGACCTTTCAGTAGGCAGACCGACGCTCTACCACTGAGCCAAACCGGCTTCGGTGGTCAGCTTCCCTTCTAATACTGGGGTGTACTGGGAGCCTTTTAAGAGTTATCTCCATGCCCTGACTGGTTTGGCTCAGTGAATAGAGCCACGGTTTGCCGCTCTGTTGACTACTGAGTTTGCCAACCACTGGGATAGAGCGTTGGCTTGCAGACTCAAGGGTCCCAGGTTTGATTCCGGTCAAGGGCATGTACCTTGGTTGTGGGCACATCCCCAGTAGGGAGTGTGCAGGAGGCAGCTGATCGGTGTTTCTCATCGATGTTTCTGACTCTCTATCCCTCTCCCTTCCTCTCTGTAAAAAAAAAAAAAAATCAATAAAATATATTTTTTAAAAAGCTATCTTCAGCTTTATATGGCATTCTTGGGGAGAGAGATGAGAGGATGACTACCCTGATGCCCCTTAGGGAGCAATTTCTGGCCAGAATCTGGCACAGCAAGGTCACAACCTGTAGGACCCCAGTTACCCCGCTCATTGGCTGCCACTCCTTGTGGAGGATAGCACCTGACATGTGACACATGCGCCTTCTGAGAACGTGCATGGGAAAAGGGACTTCCGTTTGATCACTAACCTCCAAAAAAGCAAGTGACTTTTTTTAGGGCCTGAGCTTTAGCAGTGCTTGGTTTGTCTGTCCACAGTAGTGGGTTGGCGAAGGCCAATAAAAGGTATCTGTTGGTGAAGCAGTTAAGATGGGTACCCATAAGCTGGAAACCCAGTTTAGGGCTTAGAGTCTTAGGCCTGGCAAGGCCACAGTCCCCCAAGCTAGCCCCAAAGCAAGTACCAAGAATAGGAGCCGCAGATCCCTGCCTAGGACTCCCAAGGAAGGTTCTAGATCCTGGTGACATGTGGAAGGCTAGAGGTGGCTGCCCAATGTTCTCTCTAAGAAGCCCACACTTCCAAGCCTTTGTGATGAACCTCTTTTGGAATCAGGAACTCTGTCATGCTTCATTCAGGGGCCTGTCCTGAAACCGCACACTCACAGTTATGATCCAGAGCCTTCCAGGTGGACAGATGGACCACACCACAGCCTCAAGGCCTCTTCCAGCTGTCCTCCCTGGGCTCATCTTTCAGAACCAACTTTCAGCATCCACTCTCCGACCACCAGGGACGAAGGCACTGCGTGACCCAACCTCCACCCAGTGAAGCCTTTCGGCCCCATCAGGTCAAGAGCCCCTGGAGACTCCATGTATCACAAAAACCAGAAAGAGGCAGAGAAATCATCAGACCACAGGACCTTCATGTGTGCAAAGTACAGTTAAAAACAAAGCGACAACAGAAACGAGGCGGTGGCCTCCATGGGACAGTGCTGAGCAGAGGCCCTATTCCCAAGACCTGTGGAGAGAGGGTCCCGCACCCCAACAGGTCTAGGCTGGCAGGCGGGGAGGTAGGGTCTCCCGTGGAGGCCCTCGTGGCCAATAATGGAGATCTGCTGGGGCTGGTGGTGGGCTGGAGGGAGCCCGATTACAGCGGGGCGGTGGCCTCGGCCCCCTCCTCGGAGTCCCACACCTCGGACTGCAGGTAATCGGCGAAGAGGGCCTTGGCCCGGCGCAGCACGCGCCCCAGGTGGTGTTTCCGCACGAGGCGGTCAAAGTGCATGGCCAGCTCGTTGTAATCCAGCCCGTTGCGCATGATGTGATCGCGGTGCTCCAGCAAGATGGCGAGGCAGAGGAAGAGCATGAACGGGTTCCCCTGGCCAAACTCCTGGGGCGGAGGCAGGCCCAATGGGTGTGGGGGTGGCAGAGACTTCCCAGGGTCCTGTGGGGAGCCCGCCTCGGGCATCAGGGGGGACCCTGCCGCCACATCACCAGCAGGAGAGGCCTCCTGGGAGGATGGCGGAGACGAGGAGGACGGCGAGTCGGGGCGGGAAGAGGAGAGCAGTGGGTCTGAGGAGTTCAGCAAGGGCTCCGAGAGGGACTTGGAGCTGATGAGGGCGACTGGGTGGGGCAGCTGGATCCGAGGGTCCCTCCTGGGGCTGGTGGTGTCCCTGAGCTGCTGGAAGTCATCCAAACTGGCCTGTCTCAGGAGACGTCCCCCGCCACCGGGCCCCTGACCGGTCATGGCCAGGTGGTCCACCGCATCTTCAAAAGCATCGCCTCCCCCGCCAGCAGGCCTCAGCATGTGCCTCTGCCGCACGGGCCGCCCCCGGGGGCTGCCGAAGCCGGCGTCCGCCACTTGGCTCGGGGGTCCGATGAGCTCCACCTCGTGCTCGGGAGGATCGGGGGGCAGCGAGCTCCACGTGACCTCGAGCATGCGCAGGGCGTCGTCGAAGGCGAACTCGCGCTTGAGCTCCAGCAGCAGCCAGCGGTAGCAGAAGAAGAGGTCGTCAGCACCAGCTTCCTGCAGGTAGTGGTAGAAGTCGGGGTCGGCGTGGCGCAGCAGCAGCTTGAGGTGCGCGAACTTAGTGGCCATGGCGCGGCCGTCGGGGTGGAAGTTCCCGGCCAGGCGCTTCATGATGCCGCAGAAGCAGACGAAGGCGTGGCCCTCGTGGTCCATGACGGCGAGGATGGGCGAGGCGAGGTCGCTCATGCCCTGGCAGTAGGACACCTGCGGGTGGGTGACGGCGTAGGTGGTGAGCAGGTCGTGCAGGGCGCGCAGGTGCGGGCCGTCCTCGGGCCCCGCGTAGTAGGGGTGGGCCCGGTCGGTGCGCAGCACGTCCTTGAGGACGGTGCTGCGGATGAACTCCAGGTCCTCGGGGCTGGCTCGCTGTGCCCACTCGCTCTTAAGCTGCTCGTATTCCCGACTCTTCCGTTTCATGTAGTCCATCCTCTCGCGGCCTGTCAGCCCGTCTGGGTACACGTTCAGCAGGTAGCGCCACACCACCTGGCCGGGGACAAAGACGATGAGGCTGAGGATCTGCAGAGGAGCCACCGCATGCCAGGGTCTACCTGTCACCTCCCCCCTCCTTCCCACCTTTGACTCCGAGCCCCTCGGGAAGGAGAGCTGGCTGCCCCGGAACATCAGCACTCCACCCCATGACAGCGTGGGTCCCTGCACGTGTCTCATGAGCTACTCATGACGGCGGGAGGCGTGGATCCGGCGAGTGGCGGTGGTGGTGGGGCTCACCTTGCGCAGGGAGGGCTCCACACCGCCGTGATAGATGCGCAGGCGCAGCTCCTCGGGCCGGGAGAGCTGGCCCTCGTGGTTCAGGTACGTGTGGAACTCAGCATCGCTCAGGGGCGGCTTGAAAGGCTTGACGTCCTCCCCGTACGACCAGCTCAGCACCTGCTGGACCTTGGACAGGGTGCGACCCACCTGTGAAGGGGGTGGGGGGGACACCGGTCAGCTGGCAGGCCAGGGGCAGGTGCCACCCAGCACACCCGGAATCAGGGGAGCTGGGCAGGCCCTGCCCTACAACCACCCGAGAGTCCCGGGGGGGTCCCTGGAGCCACCTGGGAGAGGATGGACTGCGTGAAGGGCAGGGCGGCCGCCGTCAGCGATGACCGTTTCTCAGCCAGCAGCACGTCCGAGCCGATGACATCCTTGGGGCTGATGATGTCCCAGTCTTCCAGCAGCGGGCCTGCCACACAGAGCGGAGCAACATGAAAATGGGGGTGAGAGCCCCACCCCTCCGGGCTGGGCTCCTCTCAGGCCAAAGCCAGGCACCCACAGGGCAATGAGCGACTCCCACGCTCTCTCTCCGCGTCATCTAAATCACGCACAGCATAGAGCCATAAATGATTTCTTCCTATTAGACTGGCTGTATTTTATATTAGATAACTATCTCACACAATGGCTGGGCAGACTCCAACAGTAATATTTACCATGTGCCAGGTACTACGTGACAAGGGCTGAGCTTTAACATAAATAGTAACACGAGACAATGTTTCCATAGTGCTAAGTGCCAGGAAGTGTTCTGAGCCCCTAGCTTTTTTTTTTTTTTTTTTTTTTAAATATATTTTATTGATTTTTTACAGGGAGGAAGAGAGAGGGATAGAGAGTTAGAAACATCGATGAGAGAGAATCATCGATAAGCTGCCTCTTGCACACCCCCTACTGGGGATGTGCCTGCAACCAATGTACATGCCCTTGACCGGAATCGAACCTGGGACCTTTCAGTCCGCAGACCGATGCTCTAGCCACTGAGCCAAACTGACCTCGGCCCTTAGCTTTTTTTTAAGAGTTGAATTTTAAAATATTTTTTTATTGATTTCTGACAGGAAGGGAGGGGAGAGAGATAGAAATATAAATGACGAGAGACCTGTGGTCGGCAAACTGTGGATCGCGAGCCACATGCGGCTCTTTGGCCCCTTGAGTATAGCTCTTCCACAAGAAACAAATGGGAGCCTGAGAGCCACCCTACACATGGCCTCCTCTGCTCCTCGTATGAGTGAGCAGAGTCTCTGTCTGTTCAGTTGCTAAGCCAGAAACTTGAGAGACGTCCTTGCTGCATCCCACCCTCTCAGCTCCCAGTGCCAAACCGTTGCTGAGCGTGGCTCATGCATGCAGGCAGAACATGCTTTCATTCCACCTCTCCTCTCGTTTCCACCTTGTCAGCCTGTGTGAGCCACCACATCTCCCACCTGAAACGGCCGCCTAACCAGTCCCTGCTTCCTTTTGATTGAATTTTTAAATATTTTTTATATTTAAAACAGCTGCTAGAGTGGTCTTCCTAAAACGTCAACCAGAGCATTAAAACACAGCAGGTAAAATGGAGGTCGTGCTACTGGACCGGTCAAATGAAGGAGGAGAAGACCAAAGAGAACCCCTTCTAGGCACAGACCTAAGCTTGAGGATTCGGGTGACAAAGTAGAAAGATCTGGAGGGTCCAAAACACCTAATACTCAAATATTAGAAAAGGCAGGGGGAGCCGAAACCGGTTTGGCTCCTTGGTAGAGCGTCGGTCTGCGCACTGAAAGGTCGCGGGTTTAATTCCGGTCAAGGGCATGTATGTTGGTTGTGGGCACATCCCCGGTGGGGGGTGTGCACGAGGCGGCTGGTCGATGTTTCTCTCTCATCGACGTTTCTGGCTCTCTATCTCTCTCCCTTCCTCTCTGTAAAAAATCAATAAAATATATTAAAAAAAAGAAAGAAAAGAAAACGCAGGGGGAGGAGGGGGATCAGGTGAAGACCTTGAGTCACACAGACACGAAGGAGAATGCCCTTGAGATGAAGAAATGGCTCACCAAGCCTTAGACAGGATTATTGAACAAACCACACATATATTGGCCTTCCCAGCTCTATCCAGACGCTAGTGAAATGCCCAAATTCCAGGAAGGAAGAAAAACTCCTGCCAGCTAACAAAGTCGCGGAATAGGCTGCTAACTCCAGAAAGAAGGTCATCAGAACTCCAGAAGCAAGAAGACAGTGGCTTGTGGCACAAATGGAGCGCTCAGAAGAAAGGCCCAAGACCCCAGGGCTCCATGCCCAGCCGAACAGTACCTGTCTACGGTGGCCTAAAGAAGACATTTTTGGTCACTAGCGTACATCTAACACATACCTTATTGGGAGAGGACGAAGAAGTTCTCAAAGGAAATGACTACAACGGCTCAAGGGAGGGAAGGCAAAGGAAGTGTGAACGGTGATGAGCCACAGTTCGTAACATATATAGTTAAACATGACATGACAGCGACACTGTGATTGGGTGCTTGTAATGTTAAGTGTCACTTTAGCATTCCTGAAACTTAAGCAACCTACTATAAAGAAAAGATAATGATAGCCTGGAATTTAAAAAGAAACAAAAATTACCGTCTCAGCAAAACCCACAAGTTAAGGGTTAGGGATTAGAAGAAGAATTAGAATTAAAAGCGTTCCATGTGCCGAAACCGGTTTGGCTCAGTGGATAGAGCATCGGTCTGCGGACTGGAGGGTTCCAGGTCTGACTCCGGTCAAGAGCGTGTACATTGGTTGCAGGCACATCCCCAGTGGGGGGCGTGCAGGAGGCAGCTGGTCGATGTTTCTCTCTCATCGAGGTTTCTAGCTCTCTATCCCTCTCTCTTCCTCTCTGTAAAAAAAAAAAATCAATAAAATATATATTTTAAAAAATAATAAAAATAAAACTGTTCCAGCCCTGGCTTGATATCTCGGTTAGAACATCATCTCGATATGCCAAGTTTGTGGATCCCATTTCCAATCAGGGCACATACAGAAATCAACCAATGAATGTATAAACAGGTGAAACAACTAATCTCTCAATCTCTCGCTCTCTCTCTCCCTCTCCAAAAATCAATTAAAAGAAAAAGTATTCCAAAGCTTTCTTTTCAAGGGCCAGGGAGGGTAGAAAACCCTGGACAAGAAAAGTAAGTGGACCGAAACCGGTTTGGCTCAGTGGCTAGAGGGTTGGCCTGTGGACTGAGGGGTCCCAGGTTCGATTCTGGTTGGAGGCATGTACCTTGGTTGTGGGCACATCCCCAGGAGGGGGTGTACAGGAGGCAGCTGATTGATGTTTCTAACTATCTCCCTTTCTCTCTGTGAAAAATCAATAAAATATATATTTTTTTAAAAAAGTAAGTGGCCTAAAGATTTCACTGTCGCCCTAGCTGGTTTGCCTCAGTGTATAGTGCATTGGCCTGAAGACGAAAGGGTCCTGGGTTCAATTCCGGTCAAGGGCATATTCTGGGTTGCAGGCTCAATCCCCAGTGGGGGGTGTGCAGGAGGCAGCCAACCAATGATTCTCCCTTATTATTGATGTTTCTATCTCTCTTTCCCTCTCCTTTCCTACCTGAAATCAATAAATATATTTAAAAAAAAGATTTCACTGTCAATTGTGTAAAAAAGCATATAGCCGGCTATGGGATTTTAATGAGATACACCTAAAATTAGGTGACAAAGAAAAGATGGAAATTGGCCCTGGTGACTTGGCTTAGTCGGTAGAGTGTCAGCCTGAGGACTGAAGGGTCCTAGATTCGATCTCTGGTCAGGGGCATATGCCTGGGTTGCGGGCTTGATCCACAGTGTGGGGTGTACGGAAGGCAGCCAATCAGTGATCTCTCTCATCATTGATGTTTCTCTCTCTCTCCCCCTCTCCCTTCCTCTTTAAAACCAATAAAAATATATTAAAAAAAACTATCAGAGACTGAAAAAAAGAAAAGATGAAAATTGAAGAAACCTGAAGGAATACCTAACAAACACAAACAGAACAAGAGCAGCAATGTGAATGTCAGAAAAAAAACCAAAAACAAAACAACACTTAAGGCCAAAAACATTACAGGAAAAAAGAGACAGTCTTGGCGCGCACGGAGAGGACGGAGCCGGAGAGGAGGAGAAGGCTGGGTGCCTGCCTGGCGTTCCCTAGCAGGAAGGAAATAAAAGCCCCAGACTGGGCTGAACCCCAGAACAGGCAGCGCTGAGCCCCAGTTCTGTGCCAGACCCTGGGGACCCAGGCTCAGGCAGGTGGAGACGGGGCTGTGAGGCGGAATCCCAGGGGAGCGGCGAAAAGCGGAACCCCCGGAGTCGCGCACATTGCGCGCAGAGGACGGAATGTTGACTCTGATGGGGGATTGCCCTAGCGGGAAGGAAACAAAACCTCCGGCTGTGCTGAGCCCCAGTTCCGACTGCTCTGAACCCCAGTTCTAGGCCAGACCCAGGGGACCCAGGCTCAAACAGAGGGAGACAGGGCTGTGAGGCGGAGTCCCAGGGGAGCGGAGAGGACAGTCTGTGACTCTGATGCTAGACTCCCCGAGCGGGAAGGAGAAAAAGGCTCCAGACTGGGAGGAACGCGATGAGGAATAGGAGCCGCTCCTGGACACCGGCCAGCCGGGTGCCGGCAAGAAGCTGGGCGACGGGGCCCCCCGGGGGGGGGTGCCGATGGGCCCTCAACCGCTGATTGAGGGCCATGGAGCCGAGGCCGGGGGCTGCTTCCTGGGCGGCGCCGGAGCCAAGGCCGGGGGCTGCTTCCTGGGCGGCGTCGGAGCCGAGGCCGGGGGCTGCTTCCTGGGTGGCGCCGACCCCGGCAACAGGCAGAAGCCGCGCAGGAGGCCGCGGAGAACAAAGGGGTGCCACAGGCCAACCTGCTGAGCTTCCAGGACAAGGAGGAAGAAACCAAAGAAGTTTTCAATATGAAGAAATCAAGTGAGAGCAAAAGATAGTAAAATTACTTAAGAAAGAATACAAAGAAGATCTTAAAAAATCGAAGACTACAACAGAACTCAACTCAGCAGCCAACATTGCAACATAAATGCGTTTAAAAAAAAAAAAAAGGGGACAGAATGTTGGAGCGGCCAGGCCGAGAGTGGCCAGGCCCAAGGCAGTGGCAGCCAGGCCTGGGTGGAGGCGGCCAAACCCAGGGTGGCCAAGCCCAGAGCGGCCGGGCCCGGAGCAGCCGGGTCTGGAGCAGCCAGGCCCAGAACAGCAGCAGCCAAGCCTGGAGCATCCAGGCCGGGAGTGGCCAGGCCCGGAGTGCCTGGGCCCAGAGCAGCTGGGCCCAGAGCAGCCAGGACCAGAAGAGCAGCAGCCAAGCCGGGAGCGGCAGTGGCCATACCTGGAGCAGCAGGTTGTGGAGCGGACGATAGCAACAGAGGCCAGGCCCGGAGCAGCCAGGCCCGGAACAGCTCGCTCCTCGCCTGCCCATGCCCCAGGGCT